CTGGAGTTAAAACTCTCATTAACTTAATATGTAATTATCTTTTATCTTACATACATTAATCTATCTAGTCTCAATTAACTATAAGCAAACTAAATGTAATTCAGTAATAAGCTCTCACTAATATTAATACCATCCAATGGCCATTGCTGCCGAGGCTTTATTTTAATAATAATAATAAAAAAAAAATTTGTAATAATATAGTGATAGTTTTTTTTTTCTGTTTTAACCGACGACGCCGCGGGATCTGCTTTCGCATTGCTTCTGCGGCGTAATATAGTGATAGTTTATAAAACTGTAATTGTACCTACAAGAGCGGTCGATAAAATAATAAATAATAATAATCAAATTTATATTGGATAATAACATAAAAATTTTGTATAGTAAAATGAAAAATATAAAATCTGCATCTATGTTTTGATCATATCCCAATTTCGCAATATAGTTACAATATATATTATTACTTTTCAAATCTGCTGGATCTATAAAATTATTTTTATTATTCTGTGAAGGACGATTAGGAATAATTTATAATGACCTGAAATTTAGCTCGAATTTTTCTGAATTGTCATTTAACATAACAACTGATTACTCTAAGGAATACACAGCACATTGAATAGAAGTAGAACAATGATTAGTAAGAGTTATATTATTTGAAGATTCTAGTTTATTATCTTGAATACAACTCGGGGCAATGTTCTTTATTCGGCTGAAATAATTATTTAATGTAGGTATTTTACTGAATGAAATCACTTTTCTTTTTTTTTTCGTTTGCACGTTTCTTCCTCGTACGACACTCGTGACGTTTCTAGTCCATTTCTACGTAAATGTCGAACTTCGAACAATATATTCAAAGCGGGGTACTATTCACGGTAGCTTATAAACACTTTATTACAAATTAAAATTATTTATAATAACGTACAGACGATTTTTTGATGCGTGCAACACGTGTACAAAAATACATGTAAAGAGGCGACAAGTAACAGACTGACTAGACCGACAGTTGTCGTACATAGTTATGGCGGTCTGCGGCTATACACACGGAGTTGGTGCGCGAAAACGGTTTTACGGAAAAATAAACATTTTAAAATGGAACACGTTTGTCGATAAATCTACAGGCCACACGACAAAACGTGTCGATGCAATATGATACCGGCTTTAATTTACTACCTATTTCATATATCAGATATTTTAATAAAAATAACATCAGGACAGTATGCGGTGCCTCTAAATCCACAGTTGTGTAGGCTGCAGCCTACACCGCATACGCCTTAATCCGGGTCTGAACAGTTATCAAAAATATAAATAGAAAACTAATATAAAGTATAATGTAAAAAAATTCATCCCATTAGCGTAACTTGTTTGTTGATGGGGAATTATTGTTGATACTGTGCAACAACTTAAAACATATACCTACTCTTTTTGGTCTTCGATTTTAGATTTTAGATTTTTTCGATTTTAGTGGGCCTATGTCACCTACCCCTTGAACTGGGCCTGGCTTACTTTAAATACACGCCTCGTATTATAACATTTTAAATATAATTATTTACTTCTAATACGGTGCGTCAATGTTACCGCTTTACATAAACGATTTTATCGTTTCTTCCATCTGTTATCGGACTGCCATCGAGCCCCGGGGGTTTTGGCGACCATCACCCGAGACCTGCAGCCACTGCGACGATCCGTCGTTGTCGACGAGCTTGCGGGCAATTGAGCCGAACGACGGCGACCGTGCGACCCGCTCCGTGTACCCCTGGTTCCGGCCGCCACCACGTCATTGGACCGGGAAGATCCCGAAGCCCCACCGCGGTCGTCGCCAGTGCCTCCTGCGACCGTC